GAATGTAGAATTAACTTGAAAACATTATTACAAAGATAAAGAATTAACTTTAAACAGTGGGCCTGTGAGATGGCTCAGCAGGTACAGGCATCTGTACAGTCTTGTAACTTCAGTCCCTATGGCAGGAGAGAGAATCTCTGTGTGCTATGCCGTGTGGAACTCCCTTTGTGTTCATGTAAAGGTGACATCTTAGCACATGCTTAGTAATACCAGAGTCACAGCGTCCTGGAGAGGGCCTCAACTGAGCACATCAGGGTTCAGATTTTAGTTTAATAACTAAGGTCTGGGAGCCTCAGATAGTTCTTCATCTGTGAGTGGCCATTCTGCATTGAGGGGATGGAAACAATGGGGGGTTGTATGTTAATACACCGCAGATGTTACAGACTTGGATCACAGTGGTTTACTCCGTGTATGCTTCTTGTTACCTCGAAATGGACTCAGTATGCAACCACTCAGCACACAGCCATCACTGCAAAGGATAGTATTGCAGCCTAATGCCTTGTGGATGATTCCTTTTTTCTCCACCTTTCTTGTCTCTCATCAGCTCATCTATGAAGACTGTATGGACCTGATTGCCAAGCTACCGTGTGTTGCAGCAAAGATCTACCGGAATCTGTACCGGGAGGGCAGCAGTATTGGGGCCATTGACTCTAAACTGGACTGGTCCCACAATTTTACCAACATGTTAGGCTACACGGACCCTCAGTTCACAGAGCTCATGCGTTTGTACCTCACTATCCACAGTGACCATGAGGGAGGTAATGTAAGCGCCCACACAAGCCATTTGGTGGGCAGCGCCCTTTCAGACCCTTACCTGTCCTTTGCAGCAGCCATGAATGGGCTGGCGGGGCCTCTACATGGACTAGCAAATCAGGTGAGACTGGCCTTTCTTTTTCTTTCTGCTCTGTGTCTTGTTTTTACGCACATGCTCTGTCTTTTATCTTGACATGCTTTCCTTGGCATGTGTATTCACATTTCTCTTCGCCTACCCTTGAACTTAACATGTAGGAGGTGCTTGTCTGGCTGACACAGCTACAGAAGGAAGTTGGCAAGGACGTGTCAGATGAGAAGTTACGAGATTACATCTGGAACACACTCAACTCAGGGCGGGTAAGCAGCCAGGAAAGAGACCAAGACCCACACACTGCAGTTTGAAAGAAAATTCTAGACCATCGAGACCTTATCTCAAGGAAAAAATACAGAAAAGAATAAAAGCAGTCCCTGTGTTAGCGAAGAAGGAGCTTTTTTTTCTGTTTTTTCTCCGTGTGTTTTCCTTGTGAATTTAGTTTTTTTTTTTTTATAATACTAGAGCTTGAACCCAGCGTCTTACGGCTAGGCAAGCATTCCACCACAGAGCTGTGTTTACAGCCCGCCCTTCATTTATTCTCAGACAGGTCTCCCTGAGCTACCAGGTTGACTTTGCATTTACAGTCCTGCATGAGCACCAGGACCAAATCACCCTAGGAATGAAGAGAAGAACTTTCTACCTGAACATGCCAACTCTGTTATTTTTTCCCATTCCTTACAGGTTGTCCCGGGATATGGTCATGCAGTGCTAAGGAAGACTGACCCACGATACTCCTGCCAGCGGGAGTTCGCTCTGAAACATCTGCCTAAGGACCCCATGTTTAAGCTGGTTGCTCAGCTGTACAAGATCGTACCCAATATCCTCTTAGAGCAAGGGAAGGCTAAGAACCCTTGGCCCAATGTAGATGCTCACAGTGGGGTGCTGCTCCAGGTAAGTCCTCTCCTCCCTACTTTCTCCACCGTTGTTCTCTGCCAAGCACAAAATCAGCTCCCTAATCAGAGCAGGGGTGTGGACCCCAAAGTCTCACATGTGGCCCCTTTTTGAGACAGGTCTCACCCAGTAGCCTTGACTGGCTTAGAATTCTATGTAGGGCCGGGCAGTGGTGGCGCACGCCTTTAATCCCAGCACTTGGGAGGCAGAGGCAGGCGGATTTCTGAGTTCGAGGCCAGCCTGGTCTACAGAGTAAGCTCCAGGACAGCCAGGGCTACACAGAGAAACCCTGTCTCGAAAAACCAAAAAAAAAAAAAGAGCTCTATGTAGACCAGTCTGGCCTTGAACTCAGAGATTCATTGGCTCTATCCACAAGGGCTGGGGATGAAGGCGTACACATAGCAGCAGGCCTGGCGCTTTTGTGGTTAGTTGGTGGTGAATGTGTTCTTGTGTCTGTCGCATATAAGTACATAAGGATTGTAGAGGTGATATCAAGTTCAAGTGTCTTCCTCTGTTGCTTTCCATCTTATATTTGGAGACGGAGTCTCTTAATGAACCTGGAGCTCATTGGTGCCACTCCATGGTGACAAGCACAAGTGGTCCTCCTGTCTGCAGGATTTGGGGCACATGCCACAACCCTGACTTATGTTTAAATTGGGAATCTGAACTCAGGCCCTCAGCCTTAACTGGCAAACATTCTACCAACTGAGCTGTTTCCTTGGCCTGTGACCTTAACTTGATCTCCCACCTCAGCCTCTTAAGTAGATGGAATTTCAGGTCTACTCTACTCTACCAGGCTCCACCAGCACACGGAATCTTCTGTGTCCCTCCTCACAGAGCCCTCTGATGGAGTTGCTGTGGCAGGGGCTGGTGTCAAGCTCTTGACTGACTTGACTTGTGACTGCTTTATTTTTCCTGGTGTTCTTTTTATTTAAGGCTGACTGGGCTAAGACTGGAGAAAGGGATGGCAAGAGAGAGGGTGTCTCTATGTTACTGTGGACTACATGTACCACTATCTCACAAGGTTTCTCTTCTACCTCAACAGTACTATGGCATGACGGAGATGAATTACTACACAGTCCTGTTCGGAGTGTCAAGGGCACTGGGTGTGCTAGCCCAGCTCATCTGGAGCAGAGCCCTAGGCTTCCCTCTAGAAAGGCCCAAGTCCATGAGCACGGATGGTCTGATGAAGTTTGTGGACTCTAAGTCAGGGTAAAATGGGAGACTGGGGGAAATTGACTCTAAAAAAATGAGGAAGCTTAAAAATAAAGTATAATTTTGTTTTGTTTCAGGGGCCTTTAAGACTTAAGATTAAACTGTATCTGAGGCACTGAAAATACATTTGAAGTTAAAATATAAATTAAGACTTGAAAGACAAAGTGATCCCTTCTCCCTCACCAGCTCACCCACACCCCCAACCCCCTGGTATGAGTTGCCCACCAGCTGTAGGATGACCGGGACTGATGCATGTGGTCGGGGTTAGATCTGGCTGCCCACCATCTCTAGAGTAAGAGTCTGGCTCCTCTCTTCTTTAGGTCAAAGCAGGTTACAGAAAAGCTGCATCCACTCAGTGAAGCTTTTGTTTCTACTCTTCTGGCCGCTAAGTCATTTAGGCCAGGAACAGGCCCGCTTTATGTCCATAGAAATCATGTTGGATGTCAGCTGTGTCAAACACTGGGGCTTTTCCCCATGTACACAAGCACCGCCTACCTAGCAAGATCTATTGGTTATAGCTGGAGGCGCTTTGGCAACTTTTTATGCTATCTGGTGACCATAAATAGCATGGTATTTATTGTGACCAGCACCCAACATTTGAATCTATTTTTCCTTTTAAATTATACCATTAAAGTTAAGGTCTGGGGGAGTTCTTCTGTTTCCTTCCAGGCTTTCTATACCTGCTGTGCCTCGAGCTGAGGACGCTCTGGGTCTCCCTGTCCTGGACTCTGCTAGGGTCCTCTCTTAGCAGGTCTGTCCGATCTGTGGTCTTCCCGGTCATTTGGCTTTATCAGTACTTAATGTGAACTAGGTCTTTTACTTCCATGGAACATAAGCCACTATCTTCTGACCTTGGTTTCTCCTGTTAATATGCTCTGGCACAGAACAAGGGCTCAGGAATGACCAGCCTCTTTGGGGTCTGGTCCCAGGGATTCCTTTTTGAACAGCAATTACATGTAGTTCCCATTAGATGGACCTAAGGCTGGGGGCATTCAAAACAGTAAGCCTTCTTCTCATCCCGTGTCAAGGAAATGGTCCTTTATTTATCAGTGTCTTTTGCTCTTCCGTTGAGTAAGAGCTCATAGCACGGCCCTTATTTTAGCAGCCCTGTTTGCACAGATTTTCAGTGACTCAGAATGCTCTACTGCCTTTTCTTTGAGAAAGGGTTGAGATACACTCCTGTTGTGCCCCTCCTTATCCAAAAACGCCTGCCTGTGTTTGTATGGAACCCGATTCCAGCACCACACTGTTGAGATGAACACACTGTAAACCCCTGGGTAGCTGTTAAAGTCATGATGCAGACTTCAGGTTGTTCTGTATAAAATGAAAAATAATAAATGTTTTTATTAACAATGTTTGAGCTTGCTATTACATAAGGCCTGAAAGACTCATTATGAGGTGAGGGGTCTGGTTAGCAAGGTCTGAAGCAGTGGGCGATTCATGATTTTGAGCATTCCTCTTCACGCAAGCTGGACATTCAGAGGGAGGCAGATTTCCAAAGACACTGAGTCTTTTCCCAAGGTGAAGAAGTCTTTACCTTTAACCTCTTCCCTCCTAATTTGGACAGACTGTAACAGAGACCTCACAAGTGTTTGCCTGACTAGTCCAGGAGCTGGTCTAGCCCAGTGGGTGAAAGGAGCAAGAAGTCTACCAAGGACAAATGTAGGACTGCTAGCTCTAAGCCTGGACACCAGAGGGTGCTTGTAGCTCGTGTGTATCCTCGCCACTCTCCCTAAGGAGGCCCCCAGATAGGGGCGGTCCTCGGGGGCATTAGACACATGTGGACGTCTGAGACCATATGAGTCTGTCCTGAAACTCCTGCTACAGAAGACTTTTTGGAAATGTGTATAAATAGACAGGAAGATAGGTAGTAGGTCCTGGCATGCGGGATGTGCTACTATAGTTAGCAGGGACACTGTGTCCAAGAGGCTGTTTTAAACCTTTATTCCTGCAGGAAAGGAAGCTATGACTTTCTTCTGCTTATTATGTTATCCCCCAGCACCCCCAAAAAAAAACAATAACCCCCCCTTCCCCAAAAAATGACAAATTCACACTGTCACCATTTATTGAAGTTTTATAAAAACTCAGGCCACATGGAAGGAAAAAAGGTACATCCCAACAATATGAGCAACACTGTCGAGTGGTTTCTCCTCCTCTGCTCTGTGACACTGTGGTAAAGCAGCGCCTCACCTTCTACCTGTCAGACAGCATGGACATGTTCCTAAACCGAGGCAGTTTGCCTTTTCTCCTGAGAAATCTTAGCAGGGTAAAAGCTACTTGCCAGCCAGTGTCTCTGTATGAGGAAGTTACTACTATATTCCTTGACTGAGTAGTTTCTTAACCAGGCCCAGAGACAGCTATGGCCCTGGCTTTTACTAGGTGTGCAACTGCTGTGGGCATGTGAGGCTTTCAGAATGTGCCTGACCCTTTCTGCGTATCTGTCTCACTTTCCTGTGTCCAGACAGCATGCAGCCCAGTTTAGGAAGAATTGAGAGGTGAAACTAGACCTCTCTCAGAGCAAGAGCCAAACCGAATAAATAAAACTGAGTGGGAAGAGGGGTTGGAGGCAAAGGAGCCATCCCTTGTCTCAAGTTTGGTGTACTTCATGGAACATCAGTTCACGGGGGATGGCTGTTTCTGGGCCAAACTTAGTTGCTGCCCGCCGCTCAAAAGCAGCAACGTTCTGTTTTACAACCTCATCAAAAAACATGGTTGCCAGCTGGGAGTGGAGCAGAGAACGAAATTCAAAGGAAATCTGGAAACGTAAGAGAAAAACGTCAAGACCATGGTGGATAGCTCCTGGCCAAATCAAAGACACTGATCTGTAGTGCCTTTCCCGCTCTTCCCCTCTAGACAGCACTTAAGAACCCTAACTCAGAACTGAGCAAAATGTAAGTTTAATATGGACTTAGACCTCTGGGTACTTGATGACTTGAAGTGTTTAGTGCTCAGTTTTACCCTCAGTCCAGTCCCAGACCCGTGTCACAAGACCTGACTCACAGAGAAGTCCACAGTGCATGTTCGAGGGTAGGCAGGAATACCAGGGCTGAATCGCCAAATAGTCTCCAAGTGGTTGAAGAGCTTGCCGTCAGTGCAAACAGCCTGGAATAGAATACATCTGACTAGTTAACTCCTGTTGTCAAGGAAGAGGGGGAGTGTTAGAGCAGCTGGTCTCAACCTGTGGGTCACAAGCCTTTGGGGGTTCATCAAATGACCCTTTCACAGGTCACCTAAAACCATCAGGGGAGATTTACATTATGAGTCATAACAGCAGCAAAGTGACAGTTATGAAGTAGCAACAAAGATAGTTTTATGGTTGGGGGTCACCACAACATGAACTGTATTAAAGGGTCACAGCATCAGGAAGGTCGAGAACCACCGCTGAGCTAGAGGGTTTAGCTTGGTGGAACTATTTACACAGCATATGTGATATTATCCTAGGTTGACCCAACACCACTCAGAATAACTAAAAGTGGTCTTCCTTCCCTTTAATGTTACATTTGGAAAAAAAAAATCTTAACACACAGACATCGAATAATTACAGGAAAACCCGAAGTAGTCTTTGACTATGAAACTGCTAAGGAACATAAAAAACTTCGTGGGGAATCAATCCCTCCCAGAGAGGCCTCACCTTGACCATGTGTGGTTTGACCATGGAGACTGCAGAGGTATAACGTTCCAAGACAGGTGGAAACCCAACCTCCAACTGGGCTTTCAGGTGACCCTTACGGCTGGATACTACCAGTGACTTCTTACACCACGGCACAAACTCTCTGTATTCCTGGACATTGGACACCACCTCAAACATCTCCTGCATTGAGTACCTACAGCGAGAAGAATCAGAGGCCAAAGGAATGCCGGCAGGTCAAGGTTTCCCTGTCAGTGGTCTCGAAATAAGACCTGTGCCCACTAATCCAGGAACACAGACAAACCCGGATGATGTATTTTACAATTAGAATGAGAGCTTCCCATCCCCACAAGGTCTCATGTAGCCCAGGTCAGCCTTAAACTCTATATAGTTGAGGTGATCTTGAATTTCTGATGTTCCTGCCTCTACTTCCTGAGAGCTGAGATTACAGATGTGCACACACACCTGGTTTGTATTGGGTTAGGGACCAGACATAGACTTGTGCATGCTAGGCAGGCACTCTGCCAACTGAGACACATCTTCAAACCACAATGCTTTTATATTATTTTATCCCAATACAGACTGTAGATGACAAGTTGCCAGTTTTATTGATAGTCAAATCTCATTTTTTTTTTTCCTGTTTTGTGTGGAATGTATTTACAGATCAGAGAGCAACTTTGCAGCAGTCAGTTCTCCATTGTGTGAATTTGAGGAATCTCAGTCAGGCCTTCAGGCTTGCTGGCAGGTGCCTTTACCCACTGAGCCACTGGAGTTTTTTTTAAAAAGTCTTATATAGCCCAGGCTGACCGTAAACTCACAGTGGAGCCCAAGTTGGCTTCAAATTCCTGATCCTCCTGCCTCAATATCATAAGTGCTAGGAACGACTGGAGACTGGAGCTCAGGATCAATGGTAGATGCTTGTTTGGCATACGGAAAGCCTTAGGTTCGCCTTAGGTTCGGTCCCCAGCACCACACACATGGATGGTGCTTGAGTAACAACTGCCCTTGCAGAGGACTCAGGTTTGACTCCCTGTACCCACAAGGGGGCGCTCTCTGTGGTTTACAACCTCTGTAACTCCAGCTCCAGGAGGATCGAACAACATGTTTTTATTTGTCGGAAAAATAATGCCCTGTTGTCTTTTTTTTTTTTTTTAAATATGTTACTCCAAGCATCGTATCCACACGCCTTTAATCCCAGTACTAGAGAGGCAGGTGGATTTCTGAATTCGAAGACAGCCAGGGCTACACACACACACACACACACACACACAAAACCCTGTCTGGGAAATACCAAAACCAACTATTGTTACTATGTAGGTTGCAATCATAGGAAAGATTGCTAATGAGTGAGTTCCAAGACACCCAAGGCTACATAGAAAGACCCTGACTCAGACTATGGGAGCATGTGTGCTACAGTTTGTACTAGAAGTCAGAAAACAACCCTCGGAAATTGGCTCCCCGCTTCCATCATGCAGATCCAGGGGATCAAACTCAGGTCGTGAACCTTAGCCACAAGTATCCTCACCTCAAGAACCCTTTCACCACCACCATCCCCTTTCTAGATAAAGTCTAGCCGGGCAGTGGTGGTGCAGGCCTTTAATCCCAGCACTTGGGAGGCAGAGGCAGGCGGATTTCTGAGTTTGAGGCCAGCCTGGTCTACAGAGTGAGTTCCAGGACAGCCAGGGCTACACAGAGAAACCCTGTCTCGAAATACCAAAAATAATAATAATAGATAAAAAAATAAAAGTCTAGTTGTATAGCCCGCAGTGCAGGTTAGTGGGCTGAAACTGGTAGGAATCCTCCTGCCTAAGGTCGCTAAAGCCACCAAATTTTAAACAATGTGCATGTTTCGGGGAGGGTTTATATACGTGAGTGCAGGTGCCCATAGAGTCAGAATAGGACACAAGATCCTCTGGAGCTGGCTGCCTAGTGTAGGTGCTAGGAATTCAGCAGTGCAGACTAATAACCATTAAGCCATTTCTCCGACCTCCTGCCCCCAATGTTTCATAGTTAAAAATATTTTTACTTTTTTTTTTTCATTATTTTATGTGCATGAGTGTTTTGCCTTCATGTTTATCTGTGCATCAAACATACTGGTGCTTGAGGAGGTGGGAAGCCTCCTTGCAGCAAGAAGTGTTCTTTATCACTGAGCCAATCCTCCAGCCCCTATAAATTTTTAAAGCATTTTTGTTATAGCTGGACATAGTGGTACATGCCTTTAATCTCAGCACTTGGAAGACAGGCCAACCAAGCCTAAATAATGAAAACTTGTCTCAAAACAAACAACAACAACAAAGCCTGGCATAGTGGTAAAGCCTTTTTAGTCTCAGTGCTTAGGAGGCAGAAGCAGGCAGAGATCGCTGAGTTTGAGCCCAGCCTAGTCTACATAGTTCCAAGGTAGACAGCCAGAGGTATACAGTGAGACCCTGTCTCAAACAATAACAATAACAAAAAGCTGTAGCTTAATTAAGTCCTGTAGTCGAGTGGTTTCTTAGCATGTATAAGGCCCTAGGTTCAATCCCCAGCACTGCAGGAAAAACAGCAGCATGGTGGCACACGTCTATAGTCACAGCTCTAGAGAGGTAGGTGGAGGCAAGATATAAGTTCAAAGTCTTCTTGACTATATATCAAGTTCAAACCATCCTAGGTAACGTGAGAGCCTGTCTCAAAATGTGCGTGTTTGTCTGTGTGTGTGTGTGTGTGTCCGCGCGTGCTCGCATATGTGCGCAATACGTATGACACAGGCTCTGGCTATGTAGTCCAGGGCAGCTTTAAACTTAGATTACAGGCTGTGGCACCACACCCAACTACCTAGTGGGTCTGATACCTTTCTATGATGTAACACAATTCTAGACTAATGCACGTGCAGAGCAACTAAGGTGGGAAATTTAAGTTGAAAGGCTGGTAGTAAAAACGTTGCTGGGGTGGTGAGTGGCCCAATAAGAATCTTATCCACTATTGGTACATGGTTATTTATTGGGAGGGGGAATAAAGGATGCTCACCCCATGATCCTACGCTCCGAGTAAGCCTTTCGCTTGTTGGTGAAGGGGGCAGCAAAGCCCATGAAGGAACGACTAGGAGGTAGGCCAGCCTCGGTCGCCAAGACTTGGGCAGCGCGAGGCAAGAAAAGGTTACAGGAAATCAGAAACCTAGCGCCAAAAAGAAAGGAGAGGCAGCGTCACGATTCTTTTTTTGTATTCAACCAGTTCCAGGTGAAGGGGAAGAGGGATGCATCACGGAGGAAGGTCGTTCGGGCAAGTTTTTCTCCTCCTAGCACCTGCTGCAGCTAGCGGGGCTGGCCGGCCAGGCAGTCACGAGTGCGAAAGGTCGAGGGCGGCTGAGGACAGGGCCAGGGGTGGGGATGGGAAAAAGAAGGGCACGTCCGAAGTGCCAGCTGCCTTTGGGGCAACGCTACTGCTGCAAGCAAACTGAAGCGTCTCCACTCCAGGGTCAGGCCAAGCACTTCAAAGCCAGAGCGCCCGCGAAGGCCAAGAAGTGGCTGGCACGCACCCGCCCCGAGCATCTAACTTGTATCTCCAGAGCTCCATTCGAGCTCCTAGGGCACCACCAATACCAGCCCTTCTCCGGCCTGCCGTCTAAAGGCTGCCACCCTCCACCTCAGAACTTCGGGGTGCCAGGCGACCCCCTCCGGTCCTGCGCGGATGCTTGTGCCTGCCTCTCACCTCATTGGCCGCGGCGGCCGCGGAGGGCCCGGGGGCGGGGTTGGGACGGAGCGCGCGCCCCGGCAGAGCGAGAAGGCGCCGCAGCTCCGGGCGGCCGCGCGCGTCGGGGCCGGGAGCCTCCGCGCGCCCGCAGAGGCCATGCGCGCGCCCCTGCCTGGCACTCTGAGCGGCGGCGAGCTGCAGGGGAGGCCGGGCAGGAAGGGCGGCGCGGGCTCCGGCTGCCTTCGCCCTGCTCCGGCCCGCGCGCCGGGTAGGCTGTCACTGAAGCGGTGACCGCAGCTCCCGGTCCCCTCACGTCACGCCGTTGCCAGGGATCGGGAGAGGGAGAGCGAGGAAGGAAGGGGTAACGCTGCCTGTCGGGAGATGTAGTTTCTTTGACACCTCTGGAGAGAAAGAAAGGGCGCTGGGTGCGTGTCTGAGGAGCTGCTGAGATGGCTCGGGGGAGCGAGGTCGCCTGGCACAAACTACTTGGCGAGTCTGTGGTCACAGGACCTGATACGTAGGCGCCGAGGGTACGTCGTGGGCGGGTCAACGGCAGATGGCTGTGGATGTCCGGAGGAACATCTCTTAGAGCCCTTTAGAGGGAGAGGCTCTATTCATCCTAGTGGCCTTCGCAGTGCCTGCTGCCGATTTACATCTTTGGAAAAGGATATTAACGTTGCAAGTTCTTGGCTGACTTGCATAATCTCTTCGAGATCTACAAGCCCTTCTCCCTTCCTCCCCCTCTCGTTATTCGAGACAAGACAATTCAGGCCTTGAATTTGCAGTCCTCCTTCATGAACGTCCCTAGGGGCATAATTTTCTCCCTGATATTTATGGAAAGAAGTCTGAGGCAGAAGCAGGAAGGTTGCCACGAGTTCCAGGCCAGCCTGGGCTACATAGTCAGTTTTAGAATAGCCAGATCTACACATTGAAGCAAGCTTTACTCTTAGACCAAACCAAAACATAAGATATGGTTTGTTTGTTCTCTGAGACGCTCTTACTATATAAGCTTGGTTGCCCCGGAACTCTTGGAGATCCTCCTATCTCTTAGCTGGTGAGATTACAGACATGCACCCCAGGAGGGGACAGCTCTGGGATGTTTGCTTTATTTTGAGACTTGATCTTGCTCTGTAACCTGTGCTGGTCTTGAACTCATAGGAATCATCCTGCCACAGCTTCCCAATTGCTGGAATTACAGGTGTGATTCCACTAGCCAAAATTTACTTTTAGAGAAAAGAGCCATCATTGTCTGGAAAAGGGTGTACTCAGTAGAGGATGAGACATCACAGGCATAAAGCCCAACAGTGAATATCACTTCCCAGGATTCAAGGAGGAAACAATCGCTCTTGTGAAAAGTACGACCAAAGGAAAGAAAGAGAAGAAAAACAAGCTACAAATTAGAAACAGACTAGCCTAGATGGGTGCAAGAGCAAGCAAGCAAAACTCTCCCGTTCGGGGCTGAATTTAAGGTCGTCAGGATTGCCACAGAGCAAGCGCTGCTTTCCCTCCGCTGGGTTAAAGCTCCCCACATTCATTCAAGCTTTGCCTGACAATGGAAATGTGCTGGGCGGAAGAAGACAGGCAATCAAAGCTACATTGTGATACAAATCAAATGCTTTACACAAATAAGGTCATAGACTCAGAGTCGAGATGAGGCTAGCCAGATGGCTCAGTGGGTAAGGGTGCTTGCCACCCAGTCTGATCTGAATTCAATTCTCAGGATCCCCCCATGGAGAGAACTTGCTCCACTTGCCTAAACACACACACACACACACACACCCCACACACACATACACACCATAAACACACACATACACATTCTCTCATACACACCATGCACACACACACATACTCATTCTCACACACACACACCACGCACACACACATACGAATTCTCATGCACCCACACACTTTAATAAACACTTGGATTTTTTTAACGACCAAATGAATGTTTTGTCTCTCTTCCTTTTGGCTTTCTTCCATCCTCCTGGGGTGGGGGGGGGGCATGAAACCTCCAGATGCAGAATAATTTAATTTCTTTTCTTCGCCTAATACCTTTCCTTCTGAGCCCTTCGGGGAGAACCTGCTGGGCCCTCATTCCTCTCACCCCCTTCCCTTTCTTCCAGTTCAAAGGTGGTGTTCCTTCTGCTTATGACCTTGAAGGGCAGCCTTCTCCTTCCAGCTCTGCTCTCTGGTCTGAACCCACCTCCTCTGACCCACCTCTGAGACAGCTGCTTGGAATGAGGAGTAAGGTTGGGCAGAAGAGGGAACGTAACTGGGATACATGACTGAACTGTGACCTCATTAACACCGCCTTAACAGAGTTAACTGCCTCAGAATCCCTAAGGTCCAGGAGCCCTACAAAACCAATGTGCTTGCTGTTCTCCAGCTAATTAAGTAGCTAATTACTCCCATTTAATCCTTTCCTAGTTCATTCCCCTTACCTCTCGTTGTGCTCCTGACATTTTACACCAACAACTTCTTTTAAGTACTGACTCAAAACACTTCCTCCGGGAAGGCTCTCTTGACTGAACCCACGTCAATACAGCTCTGAGTACTGGATTTCATGAAAATAAGAATGTATCTTAACATTCTCTCTTCGTTTTCTGTGTTATATTTTCCTGGGTTGCAAACATTTCAAAAAAGAGACACCTGCCATAACTTTTTCTTTTTTTTTCTTTTCTTTTTTCTTTTTTTCTTTTTGGTTTTTTTTCGAGACAGGGTTTCTCTGTGTAGTCCTGGCTGTCCTGGAACTCACTCTGTAGACCAGGCTGGCCTCAAACTCAGAAATCCGCCTGCCTCTGCCTCCCAAGTGCTGGGATTAAAGGCGTGACCCACCACCGCCCAGCCATAACTTTTTCTTTAAAAAACACAAACTTTTGTTTGGGAGCTGGAGAGATGGCTGGCAGTTAAGAGCACTAGCTACTCTTCCAATAGGCTCTGAGTTCAGTTCCCAGCACCCACATGGTGGCTCACAACCATCTATAATTATGATCTGATGGCGTCTTCTGACATGTAGGCATACATGCAGGTAGAGCACTCATATACATAAAAACGTAAGAAAAAAACTTTTGTTTGGTTTTGAGATAGGGCCTCATATAGCCCAGGCTTTCCTCAAACTCATAATTTAACCAACCAAGATTGGCCTTGAACTCCTGATATCCCTCTTCCTGAATGCTGAGGTTACTGGCTTGTGCTTTCATACTTGGCTATAACTTATTTGTGTTTGTTTGTTTGTTTTGTTTGTTTGTTTGTTTTGAGACAGGGTTTCTCTACATAGCCCTGGCTGCCTGGAACTTCCTATGTAGGCCAGGCTGGCTTCAAACCCTCAGAGATCTGTCTGCCTCTGCCTCTGCCTCCCCAGTGCTAGAGCTAAAGGTATTCGCCACCACACACAGTTGAGCTAAAACTTCTAAGTTTCTACCTACTGACCAATTACTATGGTAAAGTATAACTACTGAATCTCCACACTTGTTAGTGTTGTGGGTATCACTCAGAGAAGACTACTCAGTCATAGATTTAAGCCAATAGAAAGTCTTTATTAAGTGGTTGGCAACTACACTGGGTGTTGGGAATCCCAGTGTAGCTCCTAGCCTTTCTCAGGGTGATCTTTTAAAGGACAAAAACCGTGTCCTGGTTGACATGCTTCAGTTAACCAGAACAGTTAGCCTGAACTACAGAAGCCAAAAAGCAAAGTTAATACATTTAGGGACTTTCCCAGAACTATGGACTTTGATGGATTAGATCTTTTGTTTTCATTTTGGCAAGTAAGCTGTCTATGTGCTGAGTTTTATGGCCTGAATGATACTTCCATCATGGAGTTTGTTGTGCTAAGGTATGACGAATAAAAAACAAAGTCTAAAGAAAGACAGGCCAGCTAGGCTTGGTTCTGCACACCTGAGATCTCAGAACTCAGAATGAATTTGAGGCCAATCTAAGGCTACGTTGTGGTAAGTTTGAGGCTATCTTATGACAAAAAAAAAAAAAGAAAAAAGAAAAAGAAAGAAAAAGAGAGAGAAGGAAGGAAGGAAGAAATGGATCAGAGAGAGAAAGAGAGAGAGAAAGAGAGAGAGAAGAGGAGAGGAGAGACTTGTAAGTTTTTTTCAATGCCCAAATGTATGTCTGTGTATCACAGATATGCTTGGTGTGCCAGAGGCCAGAAGGGCACTCGGATTCCCAGATGATTGTGAGCCTCTTTGTGGATACTGGGACTTAAACTCAGGTCCTCTGGAAAAGCAGCCAGTACTCCTAAATGCTGAGCTTCTATGCTCAGGAACTTCTGATTTTTAAGGCCAGGTTTTAGCAGTCCAAGCTGACCTGGATGTCAAGAGTGACCTTGAACTCCTGACTCTATCTCTACCTCCCATGGGCTTGGATTACAGGTGTGTGTTACCATCCCTAGCAAGTCCACAAATATCAGTTCAGAAGTTGAATTCAGGACTGAGCACAGAGCCGGCAACAGTTCCATTCCTCTCCACACATTCTCCAGGAACTCCAGATGTGTCCATGTTACTAAACCATTTCCTTTCTTCCCTGGGAAACCCTCTTTCTTGCTCTACATAATATTAGAAAATAACCTCTAGTCCTTCCTCTTCTCATCTGCCCAGAGATTCAGTGTGGCTCTCTCCCAGGTTCACCTCCACTCCTGAGCCAGGTCTCAGCACATGACTCGGGCTCAACCCCTGCCTTCAAATCCTCAGGTTACTAGGAGCTATTTTGAGCATTAGAGGGTGTGTGCTCCCCTCCTCCTCTTGGGCCATGTCCTAGCTTAGCCCATCATACCCAATGGCCAAGCAAGCATCCATGTGACCCTCAGCTATGTTTGGTTCCTATCTCTTCTTCCCTCTTCCTCCTCCCTCCTCCTCCTCTCCCTCCTCCTCTTCCCCCACTCCTGCTCCTCCTCCTCCTCCTCCTCCTCCTCCTCCTCCTCCTCCTCCTCCTCCTCAGATATAAAGTGCTAGTTCCTGATGCTGATTTCCTAGGCTTAGAAAACCAGCTAAACAACAAACAGTTAACAACAAAAAACAATACTTGCGGGTGAGGTACTTTTTTTTTTTTTTTCCAATTTGTAATGCTATGGGTCAAACCCAAGACTTCAAGTTAGGCAAGTACTCTTTCATTTAAAAAAAAAAAAAAAAAAGTAGCCAGGCAGTGGTGG